GGGGCTTTTTTTGGCATGGGATACATGTTAGCGTTGCCAAAGCAACTATATACAAGTACAGATAACTTAAAATAGCCTTTCGAAAAATGAATTTGTATAAGTAAAGATGTCTTAACATAGAGAAATGTAAACGTTGCATATATAACGTGGACACCTTTTCTATTTTTAGTGATACGTGTTGCAACGTCACTTTCTCTCATGTAAAAAGTACCTCAGGTCTTTTAGGGTTGCCAGGTTTGTCTGCGTCCCTTAGTTGTGGTCACCTTACTTTGGATATCATCCTAAGTAATAAGTGCATTTTGTTGTTTTTTCCTGTCAAAGTCTTGGTATTTGACTTTTATTTTGGCATTGCTCTTCCTCTCCCCCAGGTGTTTTTAGGGTTGCCAGGTTTGTCTGCATCCTTTAGTTGTGGTCACCTTACTTGGGCTATCATTAGGTTGATGTTTGGCCCACTGAAACATTTTATTTCTCAATCTGTGACACATATTTTGTGTTTTTTTCCTTATGTCAAAGTCTAGGTATTTGAGTTTTAGTTTGGCATTGCTCTTCTTCTACCTCAGGTCTTTTAGGGTTGCCAGGTTTGTCTGCGTCCCTTAGTTGTGGTCACCTTACTTTGGATATCATCCCAAGTAATTAGTTCATTTTGTTGTTTTTTCCTTACGTCAAAGTCTAGGTATTTGAGTTTTAGTTTGGCATTGCTCTTCCTCTCCCCCAGGTCTTTTTAGGGTTGCCAGGTTTGTCTGCATCCCTTAGTTGTGGTCACCTTACTTTAAGTGAGTGTGTCGTTCTTCCTCCTCTCTGTGTGCTCCTGTCTTTTTTTCTATCCATCTTGTTCTCTCATCCCCCCTGACAAACATTCGCAGCAGCATTCCAGCCGTTCCCCCTGTCAAAGCGCCTGTATTGTGGCGTGCCGCTCACATTGTTGTTTCGCACAAAGCCTCGCTCTCAGTGGAATAACCCAGCTGGACTCCGGCCACGAAACACAGGATCACACGAGGCCAAAGCGGCCGTGATAGCAGGCAGGAAACAGACTTAATGTGTGTGTCTGCTGGCAGCCGCAGAGATCCAAAGTTCACCGGCCACGCTCACTTATTTACCGGGCAAACACATTTTTTTAATCAGCGAGTAGAGAGAGCCAAAGCCGCCGGGTCTCACATGTGTGGGGCTTCTTTTTAAAAAGCTTTCAGACCCAATGTGACTGTGATTATAGGACCAGAGGTTTGTTTCCATGATTGTTGATGTTACAGCTGTGCTAAATGACCTCTAAGAGTGTACAGAACTTATTTACAAGTCTGGTTGTTGGTCATTTCTTCTACTATTTCAACAATTGGATAGTTTATTCATCCAAAAAACTAACAAAATTAGTAGAAACAGGGAAGAAAGCTCATTCTATACAGAGGTATTTCTCCCGTTAGTCATACATAGCAGGATAAAGAAAAAAAGATAATTCTGTAATCAAATACTCACACAGATAAACAAAATTATATATATATACATTAGGGCTGTCAAACGATTAACAATTGTAATCAGATTAATCACAGCTTAAAAATTAATTAATCATGATTAATCACCATTCGAACTATGTCCAAAATATGCCATTTCTTCTATGCGTATATTGTTACGTAGGCGAATGGCACAAAGCACAGGCTTTTTAAGAATACATGAAAGCGAAACGAAAGGCCCTATATTTATGCTTACTATTTTTACGTCCAATTGTACTTATTCATATCGCTACCAGGCTTGTTTATTTCAATACACATGTCATTTATCAATATACATTTCCATTAAAGTCCGATATTCGATACCAGTGACAAACAAAATCGACAACCTGATCGTGAAAGCTAAACGTTTTGGGGCTGCTGGCCTATTGTGAGGCATTCTCTGGCTTGGTTCTGTGATGCGACAATCGTAAATATTTTAAGTTTTCTTTGCACATGTATACACATAGCGTATGTCTTAGCCTACTGAGTCCTTACTGCAACCCGCCAAAAGTAAACCACCGTCAAGATCATTCAATCACAGCACGTGTTTATGCTGTTCTGGCAATATGCTACGCTACTGCACTCATCCCTGCTTCT